TATAATAGCTGAAGTGATTCTTTCTGTGAGTGGTTACGAGTTTAGAGGATGTATTACGAAAATATCTGTGAAACCTTCAAGAGATGTTTCTCAAATCGGAGGTAAAGGAATCTAGCCATTCAAACTCTGAGAATGTCCTTATTGGAGCTTATGAAGAAGATGGCCATAATTAATGAAACTTATTTTGCACAGGAAAGGACTGGCTGACTCCCACACAGAAACGAGACAAGGATTTTGGCAAGACAGTTCAGATGTTACAAAGGGGCCATGATGCCGACAGAGACAGCAGACGTTCAGATACACAAGGCTATGAGCAGTGAGGGGGAAGGGGGCCTTTGGGGCCTGACTTCGTAGTCGGCTCTTGCAATAATACTTATAATCATGGCAGGCTATCTTTCATGAGCTTAATATTGCTGTCTTATCATCCATCATACACTGGAGCTCTTTTCCTAGTGATGATAATAGATTTCCACTGAGCCAGCTTTTTTTTTTCCTCCTATAAATTTCATGCATTTATAAGAAAATCTAGGTTTAGGGATATATAGTTACGATCAAGAAAATGACCGACATGAATGCGTCCATGAATTGTGTTATTTGACCCACATCATTCCTAACTGCTTATCAGCATTGAGTGTATACACACACACTCACACACGCAGGAAGACTTAGGGTTAAGGGCGAGTGCCTTTGAGAATTCTCTCTTTTCTTTCAAGTAAGGGGGAAGTGAATCAAAAATACAGCTAGAAACAGATTTCAGAACCTGGGATGGGACAGAGTTATACACTTGTCAATCTGTGTAAGTGAGGTTTACCAGGATGTCAAAAGACTTCAAAGATAGACCCTAGTGTCCTTTGAAGATCAAAGTGGTATGCCCGTAAGTGACTCTAGGTGAGGAACACCGAGCGTTTGTAGTGAGGATTCTGGTGATTTCAATTCATCCTCATTCTGCTTTATCTTTGTAAGATCTGTTGCAATACAAAGGACCAAAAACTCAGGCTAAATAAAATGCCTGCAGGGCAAACCTCTTCCCTTTCTTAATGCGACCCTAACACTGACCAGCACCATCCTTGGCTTGTTCAGGTTTCAGGCTTTATCCAGTTTTGGAAGAGGCAGTGGGGGTGGGTCAGAGTGAGGGCAGAGCTCTAGGTCCCGTTTCTGCGGTTCAGTTCCCATCGTAGGAAGATCAGGGTCTTTCACTTCTGCCTGCATTTGGTACAGATGGGTTTCCATCAGCCTTCGTGTGCGGACATGGCTAGGAAAGGCACAGCTTTACCAAGTGGGAGAAATTCAGCACTAAGAGCAGTTGGATTTGAACTCGCTACTTCAAGAGGAAGCCGACTGCCCTAGCTGGGGCAGGGGAAAATGGCCCAAGGCCAGTGGGGCAGCAAGGTGTTAAGTCCCCAGGTCTTCTCCTGTGACATGCCCCAGACCTGTGACACTGGCCTGGCCTCACCCAGTTCGTGCTGAAATCATTTCAAGAGGCTCTTTAATTCGAGTCTAAGGAATCACTATCCGGGGTCTTGCAAACTGTACAAAAGCAGAGAATCGTCCAGAGAAGGAGATCCAATTTGGTTCTCTTCATAGATACGCATCTCATATATACTGTTACGATGACATCAAATCACTAAAACCAGTGCAGAAGTGGGAAAGAGAGAAAAGAGGCGAGCAGTCCAGCTCAAGTTGGAAATTCTCAGTGGAATCTCATGAAACCCCAGAAGACCTCTATCTCCAGCGAAGCACACTACAAGAGGATTTTTAGTGATGGAGGACTAGCGTCTCGCTAAGGAACTACTGCTACGATTAGTGCTTGGGGCTGGGGTACTGACCGTGCGCCGTGGTCAAGCTGACTTACATACAGCTGTATGAGCGAATGCTCCTCAGCCACGGGGCTGGACGTACTCACCCCCTCAGGTAACCTGAGGGATGCAAACAACGAGACCTCGTTAAAACCTCCCACTGGACAGAGCAAGGCCCACTCAGAGAGGAAAGACGTTCGTGTACACAGCTTTATTGAACAGCACCCTTAAAACAGAACACGGAGGCCAACCTCCGCGATGAGAAAGAAGGACCGCAAACATTCAGCAATGTGCTTGTGCTTCAGAGGAAACATTCCAGAAGGACTGAAAACCGGGAAAAAAGGGAACGGATCATATTTTGGGTTAAAGGGTACCGTGCACCCTGGAGGAACCAGAACAGCTCAAAGTACAATAGGAACATTTTAGAGGAGAGGAAGCCATGTTATCCATCTAGACGCGTCCACCATAAGCACCGCCCGAGCTGAAATGATATAAAATGACCTTCAGTAAGGATGGGGTCTCTCTCTGCTCGACGTTTGCAGAATGCAGAGCTGCCTAACAAAAGCACATCTTTCTTAACATCACGCCAGGTCTTCCCAAGGCAGAGGCACTGGCCCGGGTTTCTAACAGACTCCACAGTTTCAGATTTTTGTTTTCAAAAGGATGGTTGAATTTGCTGGCGCTTCTAAAAAGGAAGGCTAAAAGGAGCAAGCTGAGGGACTCAACCATGTGACTTCACTGGGCATGTCCTGCAGGTCAATTGTCTCCTCCTTTCTACCTGTTTCACACATACTTAACTGGCAGGAAGGAAACACCACGAATGGCCACATTCTGTTTACTCTGCTAATTAACGATTATGGGGAGCATCGCCATCTGAGGCCCCTGCTGATGGGCAAATCCAGGAACTCAGGGGGAAAAATCAGCAGTGCTCTGAGCCTCACTGCACATCTTCACAGGGAAACTGGCCCCTCAGCAACTCTTCAGGGAAAAGATTGACTATGTTCATTTTATGACACATGAGGCCATTTTTGCCCCCCTACTGAAAGGCATTTGAAATCTTATATTCAATTACTCACTCCAGTTTTCCTTACCGTTGTTTCTGCTTCCCTGTGAGCCTTCTCCATGCATTTCAAAAAGAATTCCCTGGTGCTTTATTTGTGATATTTGATCAGATGACTTGGGGTGCCTCTCGATCTCTGTATGTTTTATCGCGTTGGGTCTAGAAGTACCCGCCTCATCTATGTGCTTCCGTGGCTGTGGGTCTCCACGCAAAAGATGAGACACGTCTGCACTCTCTCTTTTTAAAGTTCTTGTTATTATCCACAGATTATTTAAATAGAAACTTTATTTCTAAATTTGATCTTGAGTCTCTAGCCTCAGGAGTTCACCAAGAAGAGTCCTTTCTACCTTGAGCTTTACGTGATGGGATGTTTCAGAATGTCCTTAGCGTGCTCCATCGCATCTTGAAATTCCAATTCCCTGGCTTAAATGGGCCATTCTAAGTGCTATGAGAGTGACCTTCTCAATGGGCTAGAATGCACGTGTGTCATCAGTAGTAAAACTTAAAAGTCTTCTGCATTCATACCATGGACAGATTGTAAATGCAAGTTTCCAGAAGTGACATGAATCCCCAATCACATCCCAACGAATGCAACTGAAACTTGTGACAGATATTCACAAACCAGTTTCTAACAATCATCTTCCACACTTGGCTTAAATGAGAATAATTTTCTTGCCACAGAATCAAGGCTCATTCCCAAAGAGAGGGTTGATTTTATAACAGGATTGGAACTTACCTCCTGGTAATAAAAGGACTTCCTGAGGAGGGGACAGAGTGCGAGAACAGGGTGTCATTCATGCTGGTGACAGGTCTGGGCGGCCTAAAATGAAGTACAGTGCGGATGGCAAGTTAAAACATGCACAAGTCAAAACAAGTTAAAACTCATCCACCATCCCTCAAAGAAAGGACCTGGGAGACCAGAGTTCTTATCTTACCCAGGACCCATGTGCAATTTTACACTTTCCAGTTAAATTCATGAAGTGTTCGCGGAAGTGACATTTCCTTGAGAATAAAGAATGTCTATTCATCACAGGGAGGAAGATCTCTGGACACCAAAGGAATGTTTATCCATGAGCTTTGAGCCTTGGCATTTTATTGAGTCATATTGTCCAGTGGAGTGAAGATTCTGAGGCAGTCGACTGCCTTCTAACGAGAGAAGCTCCGAAAACTTGATGATTGTCAGAATCTACATCCTCATGGAAAGAGGAGGATTCCTGAAGCTTTGGGAACATCTCCCTGTGTTTCCCATGACAGTGGCCCTCTCCCAATATACCCAGCCTGTACGAATCCAGCTGCAAAATCATATGGTACCCTCTTTGCTCATTGTTCTTGGTGAGGATGCCAGTCAGTACCACAGGGATTCCCTGACTTTCTGTTACCTGAATGGCCTATATGATGGGATACCTAGTGCAAAGCAGACCATAAACTTCACTTTGTTTTCATATGATTAGGGAAAGAAAACAGGGTTCAATATTCCTCGGAATTGTCCACGGTCTTAAACACCAAATGCATCAGGTCTGTCATCCCCTGTCCTAATTTTCATTTCATCCTGTCATTTTTCTCCCTGTCGCTGGTGTCTTAGTTCAGGTAAACTGATAGAGCCAAGATCCTCATTTCATCTCCAAGCAGGTTTCAGCCTTATTTCAGGTTCACGGCAAGATGTTCCGTGTAGGATGAGATGAGGTTTAGGGTTCGGAAGATGGATTGTGGGGCAGGGCATCATTCTGATATTCCGAGTCAGAGGAAGCTTTGGTTTCACTATAATTCTCTATTTCAGTTTGATAGTGCAGAATTTTTTGAAGATGAAGCAGTAGCCTATAGAATCTACTTGTGTTGGCTTGATCAAGAACCAAATTTGTCACGTTTATCTTTTTTATCTAAGGAAGTCACAGTTGGTTTGGACTGTACAATGAAGAGATTCTGGGGAAAGGGTAGACTTTTTAATCCCAGTGTATTTATGGATATGGACGTGATGCTACGCAGGTTTTTAAAAAGTCAGCACTACATGCAAAAATTCATTGAAACTTTTGGTTCCCGGTGCCTGGGTGCTAAACTGTAGTTTTGTATTTTTAAGACACATTATCTGTTGGATGAGGTCAAAACAGCAGGTTCACTGTTTGATCTACTCTAAACATATCAGCTGAAGTCCTGAAAACTATCTTAGTGTTTTGTATTACTTATCTAGAATGTGTCTTTGATACATAAGACTCATTTGAAATTAATTCTGCTCTGAGCAAGACACTTTCACTTAATAAAAAGATGCTAATTTTAAACAAACGTGTCCTGTGAATTTGGACAAGTTAGGTACATCAGACTTTAAAACAGTAAGCAGAATTAAATAGCTTCATCTTAACTTTGCAAAAGGTGGAACAAAATCAACTTGACCAACATTTCTGGTTTTCTTTTGTCTTTTTATAAACTTTCCCATCTTGCGCTAATCTCTAAGACATGAGACAAAAAGTGGATTTGGAATGCTTTTTAACCAGCCTGGGATATTTACTGTATTGAACCTGGTCACTGGAAAGCGGATGTTTCAGTTTCTTAGTAAATGGCTTCATGTTTAAGGTTCATCCTGAAAATGTTGAACTTGGGTCACAGAATAGCTGACCTTGGCACCAAAGAATGGCTTTCAAAGGGACCTATTTCCTCCATAATCAAATGGTGAGTTATCTTATATAATAAATAGGTCACACTGAGAATTTTAAACAAATTTACTCTTACGAAAAAGAAATAGTTCCAGAAGATAAAGTCCCAGAGGCTAGTGCAAAGTTTTCTTTCTGGACAAGACCTTTGTTAAGGACATTATCATAAAATTGGCATGCTTCTTGTAAATTGCAAGTGTTCAACTTAAGGCAGACTTAATTTTAAACTAGACTCCTGTCTCTCCCTTGTTTTGTGTCTCATAACCACTTATGATTATAAATCTTTACAAGCACACTGGGGACTATTGAACTACTTACCAAGTATCTCTTTTGGCAGCGAAAAATTAAATAGAATAGACACAGTTAATCACGGTAACATTTACAAGTAATACAATAGCCAAGAACAAATGCCAAAATACCAAATGTCACCACGTTAGTGGCTTTTATGTGCCCAGGATAATTTAGAATAGCTAAACCAACAGCATATTTTAAGATGAGAAGTTTAAGATATCCCCATCAAACAAAAAAAAAAAAAAGAGAGAGATGTGAATATCTGTTCAGGGCAATACCACTTGAGTAATAAATAGAAAAATGTCTAAAGCTACAAATAACAAAAATCCAGTTCTAATAATAGATTGAATATTCTGCATCTGGAGTTCCTTGCATATTATTTTGACAATTAAATATCTTGTACAATTTGTCTTGTAAAATTCAGACGTTCACCCTGGAAAATATATTATCAGTGGGTATAGATCAGTATCTTGACTTAAGGAGTATTTTAAGAATCTGGTTAAATATATAGAAGGTTTTTTTTTTTTCAGAAAAAGGTACAATTTGTGTAGAATTTTAAGGGAATCCTGAAACTCTCCATGGAATCCAACTTGTGTAGCTACTGTCTTTAGTTCAGCAAGTAACACGTCGGATCGTATTGCCACTATTAATTAAAGTTAAGACATTTTTACTCATTGGCCAGTTAAATCACATCCCCCCACATACACCCCAATCCTGAGCGCTGACTGGACACCGCGCTGCAGTGTGACTGACTGTGGGGCTGACTGGACCCCACGTGGCCTCGCTTCCTGATTCTGTCTCGAAGTGGGAGACTCCACCCTAATTCTGTTCTGCTGCCAAGCTCTTAGAACCAGGCTGTTCACATCCACCCTCTCTGTATCTTCCTTACGTCCACCAGCCCGGATTGAAAGCTGCTCCCTTGGGGTGCATCCCCTAGTGGGACTGGTAGAAAGGGACTTGGCGGCACAGCTCAGAGAGCACAGACTCACTCTCACTTAGCGCGTGTTCATTCACGAACAACTTAGCGATTCTCCCTGGCCCGGGCAGGGAAGTCAAGTCTTTAGAATTCAGCTCATATAAGGTCAATTTCCACAAGTGATTGGTCCTTTGGGTCACTTCCCAGATGTATGCACCCTTCGTTTACTTTAAGGCTTTTTTTTTTAGGAGCAAAATTTCCAAAAATAAGTTTAACCACCTTCTACAGAATCAGCTTACATCAGTTTTTGGATGCTCAGCCCATGGCAGGGACAGACGCTTTCAGAATGTGCAGATGGCTGAGAGCAACCAACCCTCAAAACCTAACCAGGAGCAAACCAAACAAAGCCCCGAAGGATTTATATAAAGTCCACAGACACGCTGCAGCATGGTCCTTCGATGGGCTCTGTTCGGGTCCCTCAGAGGAGAGAGTTACCACTTTCACAAGTCGCTGAGATCCAGCCCAGTGCCTCGAACGGGTCATGCTCTCATCTGCCGGAAGTGTGACCCTCACATTGGTGGGTTCCTGATGTCAGTACGTCAACTTTTTTTTTTAATCTCTATATTTTTATTTTTATCTCTGTATTTTATTTTTATCTCTATATTTTTATTATTATATTTTTATAGTCAGTTTACAATGTTGTGTCAGTTTCTGGTGTTGAGCACAATGCTTCAGTCCTACATGAACACACATATACTCGTTTTCATAGTCTTTCCTACCATCAGTTATTACAAGATGTTAAGTACAAACAAGTTCATAGTGTACAGCACAGGGAACTTTATTCAGTATCTAGTAGGTCTGACCTTGATGCCAACAGGCAAACACAGCCCCAGCAGTGCGGGAAGTCGTGCTGAGCTGTGCAGAGAGGCGGCACAGAAGG